CTGAATTGTTAGTTTTTCATCATGAAGCTGAAATTGGTTTTTGAAGATTTGTGAAGGCTTGTGTTGCAATTTGAATGAAATAACATTGAATCTGTAGATTGCTTTTGGTAGGATGGCCATTTTTACTATGTTAATTCTACTGATCCATGAGATCTTTTCATCTTCTGATATCTTCTTCAGTTTCTTTCTTCAAAGATTTGAAGTTTTAAAAATTTCACTTGCTTGGTTAGAGTTACCCAAACATATTTTATATTATTTGAGGCTGATGTTAAGGACTAGCTTCTAGGCAAGTCACTTGATTGCTTTCCAAGCAGCTGGATGACCTTGAGTTGTATGCTGAGGGGCACCCTCTGTTTCTGGCTCTTCTTTGTCATCTCAGGAGAGAAAGGTGAGGGTAACTGAATCAGTATTCACATGAAATTAGAGTAATTACAAGACCTCTACTGAGAATCTGTAATCTAGATTTTTATCTCCATTTGCAACTTTGGATTCGGGCACATTATGTCAGCCCACTTGGTCTTTGCTTTCGTGGTTTTTCTCCTCTTCAGACATTTCAGAGAACACAATTCAGACATGGTGCCAACACAAGTAGGGAATTTTTATTATGCCAGAATCCCTTAGAGGCAAATGCTCAGAGGCAACTAGCTGTTTATATCAGAGTACAATCAGAAGAAGAATAATTCCCCATGAAAAGAATCCCACACACGAACAGTCTATTTCCACTATCCATCATCTGTCCTGGACTGACATTTATATATTATTGCATGCTTATGGGAAGTAAAGGGAAGGGTCATTAGCAAAGTAAGGGAAGAACTGCTCAGACTTCATTTTAGAAATCCTGGAAACACTCTATGAACAAATGAGGCAATGACTACCGCAGGTTAGACCGTTATTACAGAAGCATTCCAACACAATTTAAGATGAGGAACCTTTAACAAGAGTCTTTATAAGGTACAGAAAATACAACAAATGCCTACTAAGGATTCTTCTTATTTACTGGAAATAATGTATTAGGCTACTCTGACAGATAGAGACTCAGATCACAAAGACCCAGGAAACCTTGGTGTGGTTAATCTGACCTTTATAAGACCCAAGGCTCCAGACATATGAAAATCATTACAAAAAGCTAGACTAGGCCTTGGCATGAACCTTTTCAATTTTTGAATATTGTTTTCAAGACTTTAGCAGCAGGAAACACAGAGGACAAGATGTGGAACGAAGCTCTGCTTTTTGGTTGTGGTGCTGTAGGTTAAACAGGTCACTGGGAAGAAAAGATTACCCAGAATGCAGCGCTCACAGAGAAAAAAAGTGTCTCCTCTATAAAGAGGAAAGCCACTGGGAAAAGGAATTTCCCGCAGTGTTAAAATGAAGGAAGCAGGCTCCCCCAGTGGTGAGGAGCTATGGATGCTCATAAGGACTGAAGAGGCCTGAAGGCTTCCATGGACTTGAAATATCTGCTTGTACTTCCCCACAGCAACCCCAGGTACAATGGGGGACAAGGGGAATTGGCTCAGGGATTTTTCTCTTGGATCTCAATGCTACTCGTTTGTTTTAATGACAAACTGGGAGAAAGGATACATACCATGACCTTAGTTAAAGGAGTGTTGGAAAAAAATCAAAGACAGATTTGTTTTTCTTCAGCTCCTTAAATATCAGTTGGGGATATGATTTTAGTATACATGGTTCTTTAGGTGCCAGGGTATCTGATTCTTCTTCTTTGACTGGGTCTATTTTGCAAGTTAAATGCCTAGAAATGCAGGCTATTCTGGAATGTTCTCTGAAGCTATAGATGTGCTTCTATAAAAAAAAAGAAAGAATGAATGAATGAAAGAAAGAGGGAGGGAGAGAGAGAGAAAGAAAGAAAGAGAGAAAGAGAGAGAGAGAGAGAGAGAGAGAGAAAGAAA